GAAATCTTAAAGCTCAGACTTTGAATAAGTCAGAATATGTTAAACATAATTGCTTGTGAGGCTATAACAATAGCAAAGGCCATACACATAAAATGAAGCATAAGTTCAACCAGATCAACACAAAAAACAGAATCAACAAATGCTTATATTGCCTGAGAGTGAGGATACATTTTTTCACTTGAAATTAAAGTGCAGTATTTGGAAACGTATGGCTAGAGTTCTTATCTAAACCTAAAGTGCCACTAATATTTTAAATATTAAACAAAAATGCAGGCTATCAGTATAAAATGTTGCATAAAAATCAAACACACTGCACTGTTTAAAAACAACACTCCTCTGTTCACTTTATTTTCATATTCTTCTGCAAGAATATCAGTTTGTCCACATTTTCTGGCAAGAGGCGAGACCTACTTGCAGTGACTATGTCCCCTGCCATTGAAAAAACACGCTCACTTGGCACAGATGTACCTGGGACAGCGAGGTTATGTTGTGCCAACTTAGCAATGTGAGGGTACTTATGCTCATTGCTCTTCCACCATGCTAGTGGGTTTTCATCCACAGAGATGCAGCCTGTGGCTTTGTATGAGGTGACCTCTTCACCAATGATGTCTGACAAAGGCTTTGTGCTTCTTTCCTCTGTTGTAAAAAAATCCGCAAATACCGTTGCCATGGCAGATTTTTTCTGGGGGGGAGAGGTCTCTGATGGCCCTGGCTCCGCTCCTGAGGCCGCTTGGGCTTCACTGTGTTGAGCCTGACGAATATATGACAAAATAGCCATTTTGGAAATGTTAATAACAACAAATAGCTCTCATGGCAGCAATCAGTTATTCTCTACTGGGAATAATAGAAACATATTAAATATACTTGGCTTAGTCTAAAAAAACAAACAAAAAAAAAGAAAACAGCAGTTATAATTGGGATAATTGATGATAAATTACATGTAAGCCTACTTTAGATATACAAAAGAAAACCACAATACCTGCTTTTCAATGTCCATAATGTCTGTGGTGAGATCATCGTAGATTTTCTGAACACAGGCTTCTTCCAGGTAAGGCAGAAACTTGAACCTTGGATCCAGTGCTGTGGCTCTGTGTAGATAATCCTGAACACTAGGGTCATTGTATCTGCCTTTAAGGTCTTTAGTGATGGCTGCCTTAGCTTCTTTGATGGTGGTACTGTCCTCTGCACTTGATGACATGGATTTCAGTATCATCTTCTGCAGTGGGATAATCATTGAAACTGAGGGGGATGTTTCTGTGCTCATGAGGGTGGTTACATTCTTCAGAGGTTTGAGAATATTAATGAGCTCCTCTGCCAGTTTTGTTTCACTGTCAGTTAACAGGGCAATGTCCTTGACTTTCTTTTTCATATCCTTGTCCATCAGGGCAGAATAGATGGCAGCCTGTTGCTCCACATAACGTTCTAACATGTCATAGGTGGAGTTCCAACGAGTTGTTACGTCGTGTATTAGTTTGTGAACAGGCAATTCCAGCATATCCTGTTTGGTTTTCAGGACATGGGCAGCTGTTGTGCTTCGGTGAAAGAAGTTAACCACCTTCCTAACCCTCCCCAGGAGTCGGGATACTTGGTTTAGTGAAATTGCACTCTTGGCTGCAAGGTTAACTGTGTGCGCGAAGCACCCAATCTGTGGCCCAAGTCCCGCTGCTAAATCGATAGCATTGACTATATTTTTAGCATTATCTGTAGTAACAGGAATTATGCTGTTGGCCCTCTCCAGTTTCCATTCCGCCACCGTGTCTATCAGCATTTCAGAGAGATGCTCACTGGTATGACTTTCGTAAATGAGGCGTGTTTGCAAAACATAGCTTCTCATTTCCCACTCCGAAGTAATGTAGTGAGCGGTCACCGTGAGGTAACTTTCAGTGGCCCTGGAGGTCCATCCATCTGTAGTGAGAGCTACGTGGGCTGTGTCGGACAATTCTTTGACAATTTCTTCTCGTGTCTCGTCATACAGTTTTGGAATTACAGTGGTGCCGAAGTGTCAGCGGGAGGGAATATTATACCGCGGCTCAAGTACTTTCATCAGCTGACGAAATCCTTCACCCTCAATCACGCTGTACGGCTGCATATCTTTTGCTATAAACATCCCCAATGCTTTAGTTATGGCTATTGCCCTGTCCGGCTTATCACTGAGAGGCTGCTTAAATGTTGCAGAGAGTAATAGTTGTTTCCTTACTGGCGCTCTCCTCCTTACGCTGTCTACAGACACATTGGGGTGATGTCTTCTCAGATGAAATGACATATTCGAAGTGTTTCCATTAGCATATTGGATGCGTGTTGCACAATACTTGCATACAGTCGCAGTTCTATCTATTGTTTTATTTCCGCTGTCATCATAGGTAACATGAAATCCAAAATGTTCCCACACACCAGATTTATACGACGCTGGCGCATCCTCCAAGTCCGGGCAGCCTTCCTTTTCTCTCCCACTTGCCATTTCTACATGTACAGTATTGTGACCTGCAGCACTCACTCCACACCGTAGACACCTCAATGCGTTATATGCACGCTCACTTCCGCATTCTGACTAAGACGGCTGCTTCACTTCCGGTGCCGGCTATTTCACGACTACGGAATAGCTCCGTCAGACGTGAAACCCAAAGAAAATGTTACGTTAGCGGTCCGGAAAAATACTGATTCCGCTACTGAGCTATAAGTGAATTGCCTTCCTATTTCATGGTCCGAGATTATTTCAGAAAGGTCCTATCATCAATAGAAACGGCGAGCTCCTTTTAAACTCCAATTGCAATATACTTCAGCGTCTCATACCTTTGGTTTTTGTTAATAGGTAATAGCATTAGTATACCGCTAACCCATCAAAACAACGGACAATTAGAAATTCTCACAGCAGCGGAGTCGGTGACCTCCAAAAAAGCCGTAAAACCCACAATACAGTCGTGTTTATGTCATATGTTTTTGTGCTTATTAAATTTAAGTGTTTCCAAAGATTAATCCCAGAACAGTAATAAAATAAAAGTCTTGCCTTAACATAAATGCTAAAAGAATAGATCGCTTTAATCGCTATTACAGTTGGGTATGGGCACGCGGTCTTATTTAGAAAACATACAAAAAGAGACGCATATAATGTTTAATCATTCGTTTTGTATTTGTCCGGTCCACGGGGTTAATTTAATTGGGGATCGTTAAAATGATAGATCACCTATCTCGATTAAGCCTGATTCGGTTCGTTATATATATATAACGTGGAAAAAAATTGGTATTAATTATATTGAATGTTCTTGAGTAATCGATAAAATCAGTTTCTGTGTATGTACAAGACATCAATCTGTAATATAGTGCAAAATATGTCCAGTTGATATGTCTAGTATGATCATCTGGCAATAGCCTGTAGGTCTGTGTGGTCAGACACTG